TCAGGCTGGGCAAAGTCAGGATGAACACTTTATATGGAAACACCCTCATTCTGTTGTGCTGCATCTAAAAAGGAGTGGGCAATGACAGTTATAATAGCTGTTGTTGGTCAGCAGTGTCAATGCAGCTCCTATGATTCCCACAACTATCCATGCTGTTTGGGTTTAGTGGAAGTTGTGGATTTCAAACAACATTTTGCTCGCTCAAATCTATGTCAGCCAATGATGCATCTATCTGATAGCTGGAAGGGGAGAATCACAATTAACAGATTAAGGTCCTTGCTGAGCCTTAGTGAAAGCAGAACTGCCTATCAGCTAGAGCATACACTATAGCAGGTATGGGAAAACCCAGGCCTGGGGGAACCAGATGTAGTCCCTTGGGATCTTTTCTCAGGCTCCCTCTTTCTCTCTCACCATCCTCTCTTTCCTTCCTTCACCCTTTCCTTCCTTCCTTCCTTACCTCCCTCTTTCTCCCTCTCTCCTTCCCTTCTCTCTTTCTTACTCACTTTTGTCTTTCCTTCCTTCTCTTTCCTTCCTCCTTCTCTTTCCTTACCTCCCTCTTTCTTCATCCCTCATTCCCAGCCTTTGTCCTTCCTTCCTTTCCTCTTTCCTCCCTCCCTCCTTCCTTCTCTTTCTCCTTCCTTCACTTTTGTCTTTCCTTCTTTTTCTCTTTCCTTCTTCCCTTCCTTCCTTACCTCCCTCTTTCTCCCTCCTTTCTTCCGTTCCAGCCTTTCATCCTTCCTTTCTTCCCTCTTTCCTCCCTCCTTCCCTCTCTCCCTCTCTCCTTCTTTCTTACCTTCCTTCCCTTTCCTTTCCTTTCTCTCCTTTCCTCCTTCCCTCCCCTCCCTCCCTTTCCTTTCCCCATCCTCCTCTTCCTTCCTTTTCTTCCTCTTTCCCCCTGGGGGATGTTTACCTGAGAGAAGGTAGAGAGGGAATATGAGAACCATGTTTCAAGATTTAAAAGGGTGTCCCATTGAGAAGGAGGAGAGAAATTGTCTTTCTGCTGCTCTAGAGACAAGGGAGCAATTGTTTCAAATGGCAGGGAAAGAGATTCGACTGAAAAGGATTAGGAAGAACTTTCCGAGAGTAAGAGCTGTTGGAGAGTGGCGTAAGCTGCCAGGGAGTGTGGTGGAATCTCCTTCTCTGGAGGCTTTTCCACAGAGGCTGTCTATTGGGAGTGCTTTGATTATGCCTTCCTGCATGGAAGGGGGTTGGATTGGATGGCCCTTGGGGGTCTCTTCCAGCTCTAAGATCAGGAGAAAGCAATACGAGGTCTAATGTTTACACTTTTTCTCTCCCATCCACCATCTCATCCTAACCAAAGCTAATCCTTTGGGATCCAAAAGAGAAGAGGAAGGGAAGGAAAGGGCAGGGAGAGGACTTGGGGGAACCCCCCCCCCCCGCCTGTCCACCCTGCTTCAGCCCATCATGCGGCCCCCAAGTTTAAAAGTTTGCCCATGCTTGAACTACAGCCCCAGTATTTTGAACCTTATCATGGTGAATGCCCAAAATAAAATGTAGTGCAACACTGTGCAATTCAAGGCCAAAACAGGAAACAGGGACGGACTGATAGGGCGTCTACAGTATTCTGCCCTTCTTCGGTAATTGCTACATATTCATTTCTCCACAGAAGCACAGAACTAATGAAGAAGCAGTCATCTCTCTGGAAAATTGACGTGCTGAAGGTATGCAGGATATAGGTTGCTAGGTTTTGTCACTTTGGGCATATGTGGTGGTTTCTGGTGCAAAGAGTTGGTGGCATTCAGGACAGCATGGATACATGCTTTGCATCCCTCACTAATGGATGTTGAACTTTGCAAGACTTTGGGGCTGTATCACACTATACAATGTTATAACATTATTACTCCACATTAACTGCTATGGCTGCTTCCTGTGAAATTCTGGGATTTGTAGTTTAGAAAGGCCCAAGAGCCCTAGGGCTGAGAATTTCTAAAGCCTCGCTCCTCCTTAAAGTATAAGTTTTTGGAGTCTATGCAATTATTCTACTTTAACTGCCATGATAACACTGTATAGAATCTGTAAACTTTAAGGAGCGGGGCAGGACTTTAGAATTCTCAGTCATAGGGCTCTTGGCCTCACTAAACTACAAATCCCAGAATTCCACAGGGAGCAGCCATAGCAGTTAATGTGGAATAGTTGTGTTATAACAGTGTAGTGTAATAGGGCCTGATGTCTTAGTTAAGTGGTGCTTCCAAGTTCAGCAAGTAAGAGACAACAGCAAGAGAGCAAGTAAATTGTGTGTTGAAATGCAGCAGTTCAACTAACGCATTCCTTTGGGATAGATTTACATATATAGAATCCCTTTTGATGATTGAAGTTAGAACCATGGGAAAATTCAGCAGAGAGGTGTGATGACCGAGAGAGGAAATGAGCTGTCAAGTGTAGTTGGGGGAGGGTGGGATAGATTTTGTCGGATGAGGGAGCAGCTTATGCCAGTGAACGGACAGAATATATCCTGTACAGAGACAGATAGGGCCCTAAATCACACAGCTGAGTCCTTTTATTAGACCATGACTATTTGCATGAAAAGGAATTCAAGGCAATTGCAAATCTTATTTTCTTCTGCTTGAGGCAACTGGCTAATAAAATGTCCTGAATCCTTCTGAATCCTTGATCTGTTCAGCTTCTCGATACAGGGAACCACATTTAAGGTCTTGTCAGCATTGGCCAGTTACTCTGAGGAAATGCTTCAGACTGGCCCCAGAGGCAGCCATATGCACTGTCCTCAACCCACAGCAGCAAGTGGGGCCAATTAGCCCCACTAAACTGTCACCTTACTATCCGTGTCCCCGTTGCCACACCCACATGGCCACATTGCTCTGTGAGAGCTCCTAGCCATTGATGGCACCCTGTGCTAATATCAGCAGAGGTGCCTGTATGACCAGGAAGGAAAAGGCGGTCTCCTCTCCTTCTTCCTGGTTGCCTGCGACAAACAGGGTTCCTAATGGCTTTACTGGATTAATTTGACAAACAAATCATGTGTTTGCTTTCCAGATGTGGGGAAATGCCACACACCTTCCAGGAGAGACTTCCCCTTTGATGGAAACCCCAAACTCTCATCTTAACAAATCAACACAACTGCAGTGTGTTGCTGAAGCGGAGTTCCAGCACCTGCTGCTTCCAGTCACTTACAGTCTGGTTTGTGTACTGAGCTTGGGTATGAACAGTGTTGCCGTATGGAGCTGCTGGGTCAACCGAGCCCAGGCCCCTCCTGTCATGATCTTCATCTACAATCTCATTGTTATCGACCTACTGTTTGCCCTGTCACTGCCCCTGCAAGCTGTGTATCACGCTAGACACAATGACTGGCCCTTCGGCGAGGGCCTGTGTAAGGCCACCAATGCTCTTTTCTTGGCCAACATGTTCAGCAGCACCCTTTTCTTGGCCTGCATCTGCCTCGAGCGTTACATGGCAGTCATCCACCCTATCCACTACCTGCGCCTCCGGTGGCCCTTCTACCGTGTGCTACTCTCCATGGCAATCTGGTGTGCGGTAGCAATTGGGCTGCTGATCTTCTTTTCCAGAAGCACTGTGACACATCACTTCTCAAATGGGAATACTGCCTGCATGGAGAATTTCCCCACTCGTGTATGGAGCAATGAACTTGCAGCCATGGTCTTTGCCTCTTCAGCCTTGGGTTTCTTTGTGCCCTTTGTCACCATTGTCATCTGTTCAGTTGTGATTGCCCGACGCATCATAAATCTCACACATAAGTCAGTTCAGGCTTCCTCGCTACGGAGGCACGCTCTCCACACTCTCCTGATGGTGACCGGCCTGCTTACCTTTTGCTTCCTGCCATTTCACATCATCCACATCCTGCATACGCTGGGCCGGATTGGGGTCCTCTCAAACCCAGGACTGCTGCCTTTCACATGTTCGGCCCAGCGAGCAGTCATGGCCTTTGCGAGCATCAACAGTGCTCTTAACCCACTGCTTTACTATTTCAATATGAAATCTGCCAATTGGAAACTGCCCTGCTGTGGCACAATAAGCCAGAACCTCACAGATTCAGGTGAGACTACTAGCCCGACCATGGAAGTCCTCAGAAACATGACCTAGATACTATTGTATAAGGCCGTCTTTGCAGCAACACCTGACTTGTTCAGGAATGTCATCATCATCTTTGTCTTCTTCCCTACCCCCCTATTACCATGAAACTGTATTATCCATGACTTTTGAACAGGATCTCTACAATAGCTCCCTGACATGACAAAAGAAAAATAATATAATAATCTTAATATCTGGGCAATTTTGAAACACCCAAAATCTACTGGTTTTAGAGCAGTAGTTTTCAACCTGCGGGTCCCCAGGTATTTTGGCTTACAACTCCCAAAAATCCCAGCCAGTTCACCAGCTGTTAGGATTTCTGGGAGTTGAAGGCCGGTTGAGAATCACTGTTTTTGAGGATCAGATCAGTGGCTGACCTTATGGTAATATATAGGTACTCCAGTAAACGCTTCAACTGAACCTATTGCATAGGTTATAATGTATTACTTAGGAGCCCCCAGTGGCGCAATGGGATAAACCCTTGTGCCGACAGGACTGAAGACTGACAGGTCAGAGGTTCGATTCTGGGGAGAGTGCAGATGAGCTTCCTCTGTCAGCTCCAACTCCCCATGCAGGAACATGAGAGAAGCCTCCCACAAGGATGGTAAAACATCAAAACATCCCGGCGTCCCCTGGGCAACGTCCTTGCAGACAGTAAATTCTCTCATACCAGAGGTGACTTGCAGTTTCTCAAGTTGCTCCTGACACAATATATATATATATATATTAGTTGTCTATGTGTGCATGGGATCATCCAGTATACAGGCAGGAATGTGACCATAAACTCACAGTGGAGGCTGTAGAGATTCCTAGGGAGAACATTTTAAACCAAATCTGCAAAAGTCAACACCTTGAATGAGGGGAGGCAACTGTTAACTTTAACCTGGAACAGAACAAACAACTCCGCACCTGTATGTTTGTCCACAATGCCCTCCCTCATGTACAGAGGAAGAATTGTTTAAAGCTACAGACAATGCGGTTGCTGTTGCCCGGTTTTGGTCAAAAAATATTTAGCCACTTGTGCTCCTTCTATTTTATCAGTTTTATACTTATGTATGTAATGCTTTTGATACGAAATTTAAAAAAAACTTGGTTGGTCCATGGAGAATTACTGTTACTAGTTATACTCAGAGGCAAAATGTCTATGATTAGTGGAAAAACTTGGAAGCAGTGGAAACAGGGGCAGTTCTAGAAAGGAGTGCAGTCAGTTAAGGAGTTCAGGCAGTAGAGAGAGAGCGCGCTATGATTTGAAAAGCAACCAAGGAAATATGGTTGTTGGAGAGTCAAAGACTGAAGAGAAATTCAGGGTGGGAATCTAGACTCAAGTCATGAAATTGAGGAGATGAAGTGGGTATTGGACATCATCATGCTTCATTATTGTTCCATTTTTTTAAAAAAAAAATGTGGTCAGGCTGATGCAAGACATTTTGCTTCTGGAGTACATGGTCTTTCACTACCCACATAAGTCATGTTACAGAGCAACAAAATGAGCAAAGCCATTTGCTCAGATGAAACAGAAAAGCAGGAAAGGTTGCAAACAGCCTGTAGGAACTAGATCTGAAAAGGAAACATGGAAGGTACAATTATACCAGTCAACCATGCTCTGGTCAACAGAAAAGTGGCTCTCCTTGCAGCTGATGCCCAGTAAAACAGGTTGAGGGGAGAGTTACAATAATGGCAATAATTGTAATATTGCCATGATTTGCTTTGAACTAAATGATCTGAGTGCACACTGCCATATAATCCAGTTCAATGTGGATTTTATACAGCTGTGTGGAAGAGGCCTTAGTCATGATTGTGATACTATGAAGAGTAGAGTTGCAGTCATCCTGTGTGAGTGTCTTATTTGCCTCTATTTATACAGGCATAGCTCAATTTTTTAAAACTTTTTTTATGGAGTCCTTTTGCATACTCAGACCTCCCTTTCTGCCTTGTTCTTTGTTTCACTGGAAGCTCTTTAGCAGCATTGGGGGCAGAGACAGAGACTTTTGATATTGGGTTACAATAGTGCCTGCAGTAAAGCTTGAATAAGCCACTACTGAAACTGATTCTACTCTAAGTAGCCTGCTGCTGTCCAATAGGCATGGTAAAGAGCCCCTGCCTCCAGAACCCCTTTAGGCACATGTGAACAGCAAAACAGAGGGAGAAAGGGAGCTTAAATAAGTCTGCATCACCAGATGTACCCAGCATATTAAAAATCATAGATTCTTAAACATTTGGCCACCAAAACGGAAATCTTAGAAAAGTGGAGGTTGAGGAAAGAAAGAAAAAATAACAACTACTGGTAGATGGGTTTTGGGAGAAACTTTTGTGTGCTCTTTAGAAGATTCAGACTGTTTTTATCTACTTCTGCAAGGCTTACCCTAAACTGATACTTTGATTTCACATGGGCTTATTGTTAGATTTGGACAAAAGATTTGCTGAAACAAGTTCAGTTTCTCTTAACTTTTGTGCTGCAGGGACCTATCCCTATTCTTCGAATGTTACTTCTGCCTCTGGCACCAAATGTTCTGTTAAAGAGTAATGCTTTGCTAATTGAGGTATACCTGTACTCTCTTTTTACATTTGTAAATAAAGCGAACATTACAAAAGCAGGGCAAATCAGGAGTGCTTTCTTTCTGCCCTTTGAACCTCCTGCTACTTGGGGAAACTGGACATGCAAAAAAATGCCAACAAAAACCCAAAGAGCATACACACACCTATTTTGAAGGCCCACATTGCTGTTTTCTCTTTTCCGTATCTCTCTTCACCTCTTCTTGGTTTGAATGCAAATTATTCTCTCTCCACTCGCAGTATAGGGTAGTCAACATCAGGCATGTAGCCGGGGGGGGGGGGGGGGGGGGCTTCAGCCCCCCCCCGAAATTCTCATGGTGGTTCGCGAAAAGGCCTTATTGGTGCATTATTTAAACTGTTATGTTTATTCATATCATGATCTGATAACCATACTCAATATATCCCATATGCATGAAGGTATTGGGGTAATGATACAAAAGGTTTGCTAGGCTAGACCCTCTTTCACTCAGACTCAGCCCCCCCCTGAAACTCAGCCCCCCCGAAACCCCCCCGAAAATTTTTTAGCCCCCCCCCCCCCCGAAATGAAATCCTGGCTAGGGGCCTGGTCAACATGTTTTGAATGGAAATCACCCCAGCTGTTTCACCAGCTGCTTCAATCCTCAGTGGCGCAGTGGGGTAAACAGCTGACCTTGCTAACCAAAAGGTTGCAGGTTCGAATCCAGGGAGTGGCGTGAGCTTCCGCTGTTAACCCCAGCTTCTGTCAACCCAGCAAATGTGAGTAGATCAATAGGTAACGCTCCAGCAGGAAGGTAATAGCGCTCTATGCAGTCATGCCAGCCACATGACCTTGGAGGTGTCTACGGATAACGCTGGCTCTTCAGCTTAGAAATTGAGATGAGCACCCACCCTCAGAGTCAGACATGACTGGACTTAATGTCAGGGGAAAATGTTTCCCTTTCTTTCAGTCCTCCAGTTGCTGGGGATAACAAATTTCACCACTAAAATAGAAACAGTGGTATTATAGTAAACCACACAATGCAGAATCTCCCTCTGTTCCATTCTTTCCCTTCTGGGATGAAAGAATGGCTCTACTTGCACACAAGAAGGGCTCTGGATGTAGCCATCCTCCTGAATCACAAGGGACCATTATTGCTGGATCTTGGCTATCCCTGCTATGAGGGATCAGGAGGGTTCTATACATACAGATCACATTCCTAAACATACATGGCGGAACTATTCTGCAGAACCATATGTTTCTACTTTATTCTGGTCCAAGAGAGGGAAACTCAGATGGCAGAGATCTCTGGAAAGCACCTCTCTGATATGATTGAAGCCTCACAGTTGTTATCTGCAGATTTCATCGAGAACTTCTGCTCTTCCCTTCCCACATGGAGAAGAAAGTAGAAGAATTAATTTTAGTGACAATGACAACAGCAGTTGTGTAGTTCCTCATGGGTCCAGTGGCTCATTTAATACAATCTCCAAAGCCCAGAATTTTTCCAGTTTGCCCAGTTCTGCCAAAATATAATCAGGAGGAAACACATATTCTAAAAATAAAAGAAAATGTATTTGAGGAATCTGTGTCAGTCTTCTTGAATTGTACCATATATCCTCATGTATAAGTTGACTTTCTGTATAAGTCAAGGGCACATTGTGAGGCCAGAATTATGGATTTTGATGTGACTTGTGAATAGGTTGAGGGTCATTCTGCAGAGACAGGAAGGAGCCTCTGGCTATTGCTGCTGTTATTTCCCTGCCCAGGTATTCAAAAAGATCAGGAGTGGCACCATAGTGGAGAGAGTACAGTAGTTTCATGTTTCTATTAGGTTTCCCTTGAATGGACTTTTACCTTTCGCCATTCTACTCAGAGAAGGTGATGGTTCCCTTTTTGGTAAGAGTTAAGGTACAGCACTTACATGGACCCATGGATAACTCGACCCAGATCACTAACATTTCTAGACTTTTACATGGTGTATGGGGTATATTGTTCAAGATTAGAAATGTTTATTAACACACACACACACACAAGACTCAGTAACTCACACCAGGGCACAACTGGAATATAAAGCAAACTGTCTCAACCACTGGGCATGTACAATTACTGTCAATGTATCCATAGGGTGGACATGTCTGCCAGGGTAATCTCACTTCTGTGGTTTCTTGTGTATCACTGTTGCTGTTTTTTGAGACAGTATCTGCATCCTTCCCCTTCAGAGAAAAAGATGTATGAACATTTTGTTATTTCACATTCAATGACAGAGATCATTAGCTGTCAGAACTTAATCTGCCTTACTGACATAGTCCAGAAACTTCTACATAAGAAACTATGCATACTATCTACATATATACAATTGTGCGCGATGAAAGCACATGGTTATCTTACTATGTCTGTTCCTGGTCTGTCCTGAGATGGCCTGAGATGTGTCCGATGGGAAAAGAGGGAAGCTAATGAAGACATCTCCAGCAAAGGATCACCGCCTTGTCGGGGCACTGGAGCTTGAGCACCTCAATGATGTCATGAGCGAAACCGTGAAGGGACACCCAAGACGGGACGGTTGTGGCAGAGAGGTCAGACCAAGCGTGATCCCTGGGGAAGGCAATGGCAAACCACTCCAGTATCCTTGCCAAGAAAACTAAATGGACCAGTACAACCAGAGATATGTCGGTATGCCATTGGAAGATGGGACTCCCAGGTCGGAAGATGGCCAAAATGCTACTGGGGATGAGCAGAGGATAAGTTCAACTAGCCCCAGATGTGATGACGCAGCTAGCTCAAAGCCGAAAGGAAGGCTAGCGGCCGACGGTACTGGAGGTGAACGACGAATCCGATGCTCTAAAGATCAACAAACCATAGGAACCTGGAATGTAAGATCTATGAGCCAGGGCAAATTGGATGTTGTTATTGGCGAGATGTCAAGACTAAAGATAAGACATTCTGGGGGTCAGCGAACTGAAATGGACTGGAATGGGCCACTTCACATCAGATGACCACCAGATCTACTACTGCGGACAAGAGGAACATCGAAGAAATGGAGTAGCCTTCATAATTAATAAGAAATTCGCTAAAGAGGTGCTTGGATACAACCCAAAAAATGACAGAATGATCTCAATTCGAGTGCAAGGAAAGCCTTTCAACATTACAGTGATCCAAATATACGCCCCAACCACAGCTGTGGAAGAAGCAGAAGTAGATCAGTTTTATAAGGATCTGCAGCACCTACTGGATAATAGACTAAAAAGAGACATTATTTTCATTACAGGAGACTGGAATGCCAAGGTGGGAAGTCAAATGACAACTGGGATCACAGGCAAGCATGGTCTGGGAGAACAAAATGAAGCGGGACGCAGGCTGATAGAATTTTGCCAGGAAAACTCACTGTGTATAACGAATACTCTCTTCCAACAACCTAAAAGACGGCTTTACACATGGACCTCACCAGACGGTCAACACCGAAATCAGATTGACTACATCCTTTGCAGCCAAAGGTGGCGGACATCCATCCAGTCGGTGAAAACAAGACCTGGGGCTGACTGTAGCTCAGATCACGAACTTCTTATTGCCAATTTAGAATAAAACTAAAGAGATCATGGAAAATACACAGACCAGTTAGATATGATCTCACTAACATTCCTAGCGAATATACAGTGGAAGTGAAGAACAGATTTGAAGGACTAGATTTAGTAAACAGAGTCCCAGAAGAACTATGGACAGAAGTCCGAGACATTGTTCAGGAGGCGGCAACAAAGTACGTCCCAAAGAAAAAGAAAACCAAGAAGGCAAAATGGTTGTCTGCTGAGACACTGGAAGTAGCCCAAGAAAGGAGGAAAGCAAAAGGAAACAGGGATAAGGGGAGATATGCCCGGTTAAATGCGCAATTCCAGAGGTTAGCCAGAAGAGATAAGGAACTATTTTTAAATAAGCAATGCATGGAAGTGGAAGAAGACAACAGAATAGGAAGGACAAGAGACCTCTTCCAGAAAATTAGAAACATTGGAGGTAAATTTCAGGCAAAAATTGGTATGATAAGAAACAAAGATGGCAGGGACCTAACAGAAGCTGAAGAGATCAAGAGAAGGTGGCGAGACTATACAGAAGATCTGTATAGGAAGGATAATAATATCGAGAATAGTTTTGACAGTGTGCTGAGTGAATTAGAACCAGACATCATGAGGTTGAATGGGCCTTAAGAAGCATTGCCAATAACAAGGCAGCAGGAGACGACGGGATCCCAGCTGAACTGTTTAAAATCTTAAAAGATGATGCTGTCAAGGTGATGCATGCCATATGCCAGCAAATATGGAAAACACAAGAATGGCCATCAGACTGGAAAAAATCAACTTATATCCCCATACCAAAAAAGGGAAATGCGAAAGACTGCTCCAACTTCCGTACAGTGGCCCTTATTTCTCATGCCAGTAAGGTAATGCTCAAGATCCTGCAAGGAAGACTCCAGCAATACATGGAGCGAGAGTTGCCAGATGTTCAAGCTGGGTTCAGAAAAGGCGAGAGGAACGAGAGACCAGATTGCCAATATCCGCTGGATAATGGAGAAAGGCAGGGAGTTTCAGAAAAACATCTACTTCTGCTTCATTGACTATTCTAAAGCCTTTGACTGTGTGGATCATAATAAATTGTGGCAAGTTCTTAGTGGGATGGGCATCCCAAGCCACCTTGTCTCTCTCCTGAGGAATCTGTACAAGGACCAAGTAGCAACAGTAAGAACTGACCATGGAACAACAGAGTGGTTCAAGATTGGGAAAGGCGTACGGCAAGGCTGCATCCTCTCACCCAACCTTTTAACTTGTATGCAGAACACATCATGCGATGTGCGGGGCTGGATGAATGCAAAGCTGGGGTGAAAATTGCTGGAAGAAACATTAACAACCTCAGATATGCAGATGACACCACTCTGATGGCCGAAAGCGAGGAGGAGCTGAGGAGCCTTCTAATCAAGGTGAAAGAAGAAAGCGCAAAAGCCGGGTTGCAGCTAAACGTCAAAAAACCAA